GGCCCCCCTGCGCTTCCACAGCCTGTGACAGAGCCTCGTGCAATGTGAGAAGCTCCTGGCTGTCCTCCTCGCGTAGGAGAAGCGTTTGCTGAGCTGGAGCCACCATGAACTGGAGCTTGTACATCTGGGGGTCTGAGTGCTGCTTCTTGTCGTAGTGGCATGCCCTGAGACGAAGGAACCTCACGTGCTCTTGTACGTGTCGTATCGCTGTCTGCTGCGGTAACTTCATCACGATGTTCCAATATCTGACGAGCGTCGCCTTGGCCTTGGGTGGAACATCCGTCGCTTCCTTGACCAGGTAAAATAAGAGCCCGAGAAATATCGGTGGCCACGGCGGGCCCATACCATGATCTTTGCCTTTCTCTTTGCACTTGGCATTGTAGTCCTGGCCAGCCGCCTGAATGATCGTCACCATGCCCGCCGTGGGCGGAACCAAATAGCATACGAAACAAGCGCCGATGAGCTCCGCCAACTCGCGGCTGTTCTGCAAAGCGAGGCGGCACAGGATAGTGATGAGTGCCGCCAACGCTGAGCCCGCCCCCTCCTGGTTGCTGGTGACTTCCTCCTGGAGTCTGGCTAGCTTCGAGTCCTTGGAGGCGGAGGAGGAGGAGGAGGAGAAGCAGGCGCAAGGAGTGGAGGAGAGGAGGGGCGGTGATGGAAGACCCATACTGTAGCCTCAGGTCCCGCCGCGCTTTCTGCATCGAAAATGCAATATTGGAAATCCCGCGTGGCTCCTGGGAGCCCTGACGTGGTCCCCCAGCAACCGCATCATGCTTAAGCTCACGGAACAGACGCTTGGTTTCTCAAGATGTTCGGGCCCGGAGGGAGGAACCCGAAGTGGCCAAACGAGCCCCCATGTGCCAAGATAACCCCCGAGACCGCCAAGAGGCCCACAGGGGCGACCAACCCAAAAAGTCCACAAGGGGTAACAAGAGGTCCCCAAGGTGCATCCAAGAGGCACCCCAAGCCCAAAACACATGCTTTATCTTGCGCTGGTTTTGTTGCGTTGTGTTTGTGGTCCTTGTTGTTGTTGTCGTTGTTTGTTATCGTTGTCGTCCCCGGGACCCATCCGCGACCCGCCCCGCGACCCACCCCGCGACCCACCCCGCGACCCACCCCGCGACCCACCCAAGGACCCACCCGCGACGCACCCCGCGACCCACCCGCGACCCCACCCGCGACCCACCAACGACCCCTCGCGATCCACCCGCGACCCACACCGCGACCCACCCGCGACCCACCCCGCGACCCACCCGCGACCCACCCGCGACCCACCCGCGACCCGCGACCCACCCTGCGACCCACCCGCGACCCACCCGCGACCCACCCGCGACCCACCCACGACCGATCCACATTGGTTTGAAGAAAAATTTGGCGCCTGCGGCGGGCTCGTTGTATAATTGCTGAAACGTTGGCGCGTGCGGCGGGCTTCTCCAGAGTTTCGCAGACTGCCGGCGCCCCCACCGCCCCCTCACTGTTATCCACATCTGCGGGGCGCTACGAATTTCGGCGCGGCACCGCCCCCCATCCCGAGCGCCCCCCCGCATCGCCCCGCCCACTAGCCAGCGCGCCCCCTCCGCCTCGACCCCTTCACTTCGGCACGGCATCACCCCCCTTCCCATCCCGCGCGCCCCCCCCGCACCCCCCCGTCCACCAACCAGAGCGCCCACTCCACTCCGACCCCTGTATTTCGGCACGGCACCGCCCCCCCCATCCCGCGCGCCCCCTCCGCACCCACAACCCGCCAATTAGCGCGCCCCCTCCGCCCCGACCCATTTTATTCGGCGCGGCCCCGCCCCGCCCCGACCCCTTACTATAGGCCCTCCGCATCCTCCCACCTACCAGCCAGCGCACCCCTTCGAGGCCGCCCCAGTCCGCACCCCCCCATGCACCAGCAAGCACGCCCCCTTCCGCCCCGACACCATTTCACTTCGGCGCGGCACCGCCCCCTCCGCCCCGACCCTTTCATTTCGGCACGGCATCCCCTCCCCTTCCCGCACGCCCCTCCGCATCAACCCACCCACCAGCCAGCGCACCCCCTCCGCCCCGACCATTTCATTTCGGCACGGCACCCCCCCCTTCCCCGAGCGCACCCCCCGCATCACCCCACCCACCAGCCGCCCCCTCCGCCCCGACCCTATTTATTTCGGCACGGCCCCGCCCCGCCCCCCCCCATCCCGAGCGCCCCCACCATCGCCCCATCCACCAGCCAGTGCGCCCCTCCGCCCCGTCCCCGACCCTTTGTTTGGGCACCTTGCATGTCTTTGAGGCCATTTTGTAGGGGACGGCCCTCAACGCCTCCTCAAGCTCGCCCTCTGAAGCACCTCTCGCGGCCATCTTGAAGCCCTCCTTCTCCGATTTCTCGTCCTCTCCCCCATCCGCATCCTGCGCATCCTCCTCCTCATCCCCCTTTCCGATCTGTGGAACAGCCATACCGCGCGTGCCACTTGATGGGCCTCTGACTCGCAACCCAGGCGCGTTGGTGGGATGGGGCGAAGGCCACTACTAGATCTGCCTGTTGATTGCAATATTAATAGTTGGTGTTACTGCTCTGAAACCTCCACCCAACATGTTCCCAAGGTCCTCCAGCACATCCACCTGGCCACGAGGGAAAACTGGAACAAGAGATCTTCCTCTGTGGCCTCGACGACGGCCAGGATTGCCGCCAAGACGGCCCATGACGCTCGAATCTGGCCTTCATGACTGCACACAACAGCCAAAATGGCCTCCATACGTTCCAAGAAGCCCCCCACTCCGCCCCAAGAGGACTCCAAGAAGACCTCCTGGAGGCCAAGCCCGCTGGCGTCCCGTGAAATATATCGGGGGCGTCCAAGAGGGAGGCGTCCAAAAGAGGTGGGCGCAACTCATAGCCGGCGGCATGCGCGCCGCCCAGGGGGGGGCTGGTTACGCACTGAAATAAGGAAAGGCGCCATGACATCTGGGGAGATATCATGGCACCCGCCGTGACATCTCCCCCCCCCTAGTCATCACCTCCCTCTTTGCCGTGTCTGAATATTCAGATAATGTTCGCACTCTTGCCATTTCTGGGCTTCAAACGTCCGAAAAACGTGCCCCGAGGCCTCCAAGATAGCCCAGGGAAGGCTCTCGCAAGAAGGCCCAAGGAGGCCCTCCTCCACGCCGGCCCAAGAGCTCCCCCAAGAAGGCCCCCCGAGACTGTCCAAGAGGGCCCCAAGACGGCTCAAGAGGCCCCCAGGACGGCTCCAAGGTCCCCAAGATGGCCGCGCAGACTTCCAAGTCAGCCCTAAAGCACCCAAAAAGGACCCCACGACTGCTCAGAGGGGCCCCCAAGACTGCCTCCAAAGGCCTCTTAGAGGTCACTTAGAGGCTCAAGAAGCCTCAAGAGTGCATCGGAGGCCCCCAAGCGGCCGCCAGGAGGCTACAAGATGCCTCATGTTCTTTCTCCTCCTCTCTTCCCTCTCCTCCTCCTCCTCCTCCTCCTCCTCCTCCCCTCCTCCTCCTCCTCCTCCTCCTCCTCCTCCTCCTCCTCCTCCTCCTCCCTCCTCCTCCTCCTCCTCCTCCCCCCCCTCCTCCTCCTCCTTTCACTTCCTCCCACCAGTGTTCCCCAAATGGTTCCCACATCGGCTGAAGGGAACACGTAGACCAACAGCTCTGCAAGACGTCGACCAAACGTGTGGCCACATAGACGTTTCCAGAAGGCAGCGGCAGGGGGAGCGGTGGATCGCCGAAGGCGTATTCCATGAAGGACGAACGGAAAGAAGATGACCCTCCCCTGCCCCGCCAGCTTTCAGCGTGCGCCGGATGTGGCCGTTCGCCAGGAGCGACAAGGGCAGCGGCGAATATCCCTCCGGCGTGGGCTCGTAGTGGGTCTGCTTCAGCTGGATGATGCGCCCTGTGCTTCCGCATGTTTCTTTGTCCTCACCACCACGGCTGGATTCGAACGTGTCTATGCCAAGTCTGCTCCACAAACTGTGCTTGACACAAGGGGCTCCTGGTGTTGTCTTTGGAAAAAATGCGGCTGGTTTCTCCCCCAAAGAGCGCACGTGGGCGTCCCGCGCGGTTGCTGAGTTTCCATGATCAAATTCGAAGGTTCACACTCGAGGGCCGATATGTTTGGATGTACTTGGGCTGTTTTAGGCCTCCAGAGGCCTCTGGGGAATTCTCCAGAGACCTCTGGAGACCCTGGGGCCGGGGGGTGATCCCGTTTTTTTGGTGATCATCTGATTGCCTCGTCGCCACGGCTGGATTCGAACGCGCTCTGGGCCAGGTTCTCTTCTCTCTTCCCACGACGTGCCCAAGCTGAGCAAGATCGTCGTCGTCGTCGTCGTCGTCAGCGTCGTCCCAGTCTAGCTCGCGCCCTCTTGAGCGCCAGTGGACGCCTCGCGGGAGTCCACCACGCGCGTGCCGAGTTCTGCCCGGGTGTTCGCCCGGTGGACGTCTCCCGTGCGCTGGCTTGTTTCGCCTGGTGGGTGCTCGTCGTCGCCTCGTGGGCGTCTCTCGTGCACTGGCTGGCGTCTGCGCACGCACGCCACGATCTTACTGCAGACTGCACCACGTGTGTTGACCAGCATCGACTGCGCATCCAGCGGGCAAGGGCCGACAGCTTGGTATCCACGCTGGCAGAAATGTCATCAGAGGATGGGGAACAGGGTGAGTATGTGGAGGAGAATGAAGAGAAGGAGAAAGAAGAGGAGGAGGCGGAGCTAAGGGAGCAGGCCGAGTAGGCGAAAAGGGGAAGGATGCAGGAGGCAGGGGAGGGCGTTCAATTGAGAGGAACAGTTGAGAGCGGCGTCCAGCATGTCAGAATGGACTCATAGCGATGCTGCTCTAGACGGGTAATCTACCAGACCATGCCAACCGCCGCAGGCGGCGCATTTCCCGCGGAAACCGTCGCGGAGGGATGGCAATTTTCTGGGAGGCCTCCGTGGGCTCTACGCAGAAATAACTACTGACCCCGATGCCAGAACTCTCGCGCTGGGATTTGCCAGTCTGTGACGGGACAAACACGGGATTCGCCCAGATTGCGCAGGATTCGGCCGAAAGTGCCACCGACGATGCTGAAACAATCATCCCAGGAATGCCAAACTATGCAGTCTGTGCGAGGATGATTAAGAAGGGAAGAGGCAGGCAGGAAGGGAGAGAAGGAGAACGCGGCAGGAGGTGGGAGGAAGGGGAACTCAAGGACGTCCTGCGGCCCAACCTTCTCCGATGTTGCCAAAGCTCTTCCCGCTGCCGCTACTCCTCCGCCTCCTCCTCACCTCCCGAGTGGCCGACAGTCCCTTGGGACATCTGTGCCGGGGAAGCGAGGCACTCCTCAAGTCAGCGGGGTGGGCGAAGAAGCAAAACCATGTCCATCCTCGCCCTCCTTCCGTACAGCAGCTCTTGAGTGGGGTGGTGGGTCGGATCCCACGTAACCAGCAAAATGTCGAAGCGTCACTTGAATCATCGCGCCATCCTGACATTGGTCGCAAATACTGTGTACGTAGCACCCCGCAGATGCGAACAAGAATGAGGGGGCGGCGGGGACGTCGGCAGTTTGCGAGGACTCCGGAGAAGCCCGCCGCAGGCGCAAACATTTCACTAACTATACAGCGAGCCCGCCGCAGGCGCCGATTTTTTCGTTAAGCCAAAGTGGGTAAGTCGCGGATGGGTCGCGGGTGGGTCGCTGTTGGGTCGCGGGTGTAGGCGGCAGAAAATCCTCCCCATAAGAATCACCATGACAAGCGAAGCCGCTTAGTAAACGCATACAAGGAATGAATCGACCAGGGCAGGGCTGCTTAGTCAACGCCCAGGGCCGTTTCAATTAACGTCAATTGTCGGGTCCGGATGGTTTTTCCTCCCTTGAGGGTGGGTCGCGGGGTGGGTCGCAGGTGGGTCGCGGGGTGAGTCGCGGATGGGTCGCGGATGGGTCGCGGATGGATCACGGGGTAGGTCGCGGGTGGGTCGCGCGGGTTGGATCGCGGGTGGGTCGCGGGTGGGTCGCGGGTGGGTCGCGGGGTGGGTCGCGGGGTGGGTCGCGGGTTGGGTCGCGGGTGGTTCGCGGGGTGGGTCGCGGGGCAGGTCGCGGGTGGGTCGCGGGGTGGGTCGCGGGTGGGTCGCGGGTGGGTCGCGGGGTGGGTCGCGGGGTGCGTCGCGGGTGGGTCGTGGGTTGGGTCGCGGGTGGGTCGCGGATGGATCGCGGGGTGGGTCGCGGGGTGGGTCGCGGAGTGGGTCGCAGGTGGGTCGCGGGTGGGACGACGACAACAAACAACAACAGCAACAACAACAACAATGCAACAAGCAGAATTCTCACCACGAATTCTGTATTCAGCCACGCACCCAGGGACAATGAATGAGCGTTCGGCCCCCTCACTCTGGTTTGGAGGCTGTACTGTTTCTGTGATGTCCCATGGACCACACATCGTTTCCTGTTCGTGTGCACATGCCACGCCGCGGGGAATCTCAAACGCACATTCAACATTCGATCTGTCCCGCACGATCTTCGTTAAAGCAGACAGCATTGGCACGGGATGCCGCGCATTTACCGCGAGCCAACATGGGAAACTGGTGCGCTAAGTGAGACCGAATACGTGTGCACAACTACATGTAGAACACAGCACGGTCAAGCGAACGCGCGATGACAATCGTCATGTGGAGAACGGCTCGGCACGACTGCTGCTCTGAAACAGTGCGCGGCACGGTACGTCCCCGCGACACCGCAATGCAAATTCTACGCCCAACACTGAGACAAGAATTATGGGAGACAACGACAGGAACAATACCCCGCACCCGCTTTGAAACAGGTGTGATTGAGTTGTGAAGGCCATGCTCCGAGATGTTCGCATCGACTTGCCGTGTGACCCTGGAGGCGGCTGAGGGGTCTGAGCTGGTTGGGAATCCAGAAAATCAGTCAGTAGTGGAACGAAAATCAAAACAATCCCTGGACCCTTCCCAGGGTCCATCTGGTGAGATGTTCCCTCCCGCATCTGTTAGTGAAAATCGTGGGGCCCGAAAGCGGTCCCAGAAGGCCGGAACAAATGAAAACCTGTTCGAACCCAACGCTTCGAACCTGCCCGCGAGCTCGGTATGAAGCCGACTCTGGATTCGTTCCAGCTTCGTTTTGCGACGGGACATAACTGAGACGGAATCGATACGAAAACGAAACGAAATTGGAACGAAACTAAAACAGCCCACCGCTAGCAACAACGAGCATATTCAAGCGAAAGACACACCGTTCATCCCCTGGAAGTCGTCAGACACACAGCACACTGATTTGAGTTGCACCGACTTCGACACTTGTCCTTCGCCAGAGTCTGGTGGTGCACATGCCATACCAAAACTGATGTCGGCAATTGAAGCCTTGAACGGGTTTGATCCAGAAGGCGACGCGAATCTCCAGTGACCAACTACACAGAGAAGACGTTTATTCATGATCGCGCCATCATAGGCGGCGCAAATGGCAAAGAACTCTTCGAGCCGCAAGACGTTGAAGCAAACCAGTGGGCCTCTCAAGCGATGCATTGAGGTCTGGCGATGACTTCCACGTCGGCTCGTCGTTCCCCTTGAAGGCCAACCAGGCGATGGGCCGACGACGTTCGGGAACAGCTTCGTTCCCAGGGTATCAGAGAATCTTGGTAACACTACGCAAATCGCAGTGGACTGGGAAACCCGCCAACGGGACATCGGTTTCGGCTCCGTGTTCGCGTCGCGGGTGCAAACGAGGCGAAGCTGCGGTGGGCCGCGAGGCTGTGGCGCGGCAGCGGAAAAGTACTTCTGATCCGACCGCCTGTTGCCGCGGCCGCGGCCGCGTCTTACCATGCAACTGCCCGCGCCGATCATAGCGCCCTCGCTAAGGAGGCCGCCCACAATGCCGAGCGCGACAAATCGTCTCGGTCATGGCCATGGTGTTGGGGCGAAAGGACTTTCCACGCTTTAATCACCACCTTGTTCTGCTCCTTCTTCTTCGAACAGCTCTCATTCCCGAATTTCCTTTCCACCTTCTTCGGGTCGTGGACCTGCTCCTCCGCGTCGCCTTTCAGTCCGCGTTTCTTCGCCGCTCCCTCTCTGCGCGGCCAGATGCGCGACCCCGCTCGTCTTCTCGATGGGTCCGCGGCCCGTGCACAGGCATGTAGCGGTAAACCCATTATTTGTGGTGGCCTCGTTGATTTCGGTGTAGTGCCATTGTCCGCGTGCATCTTGGATGTATGGAACGTTCCCAGAACGCTCGCCGAGACTCGCGCGTTGCGCGACGCCGGCCCGAAAGTCCACCTCAATTGCCATGCTGGCCCCGTACTCGGGGCAGCGCATGAGGCGCAGACGCATGCGCGACTTCCACTTGCCTCCTCTGCCGCCGCATGCGCGCCCATCCCTCCGCGAAGGCCCATTATCGCCGAGTTCCTTGACGAAGCGCTCCCGCGTCTTCTGGCCGAACGCTCCCCGGTCAGAAACACCCTCCTGTTTCGCGCCCGCGCCGCGGCCGGCCCGTCGCCGCGGCGCCGAACGGGGCGACGATTCACGCTCGAACAAAACGGTTACGGCAAGAGCCGAGCTGAAGGAGGGGGCGCGGCAGAGGGAGAAGAGGGCCCAGGAGCAGGGCTGGACCTAAGCGTTGTTCTTCCTCTTGGTCCCGTTCTGTCCTGACTGCTGTCCTGCGCGTCCCTGCCGAACAACCGTAACTCAGAGCGCAGCCGACGTCCGGGCCCGGCCCTGCCTGGGAGGGCAGGCCCCGCGGCTCGGGGGCGCGCCTGAGGGGCGGGCCGCGCGGCCCGAGGACTGGCGCGCCCGCCGACGGCTCCCACTCCCCGTCGCGGCCCGCAGCGGAGGAGGCCGCGCGCCCGAGCCCGCGCAACGTGCCGCCGACGCGGCGCGGTGGACCGCGAGCCGCGCCCCGCGCGCGGCAGCGGCGCCCGCAAATCGGCGCAAGCTCGGCGAAGGCGCCCTGCGCGCCTACGCGCCTCGCGCCGCGCGGCCCCGCGAACCGCGGGCGTCGATCGCCGCGACGTTCTGGGCGAATCCCGACAGCGAACCCTTCTATTTTTTCCCAGCGAATCATCCCCATCTAGGTCGTGTTCCGCACGCAGACACGCTTGCTGATGAGACCCCGGAAGCGGGGGAGGCGAATCCACGGGCCCCTTGGCAGCGCCTCCTGCGTCGGCGGCCCCGCCTCGGCGCGCGCGGGAGCCTGCGCCGGCGGCGCCTCCTGCTTGCCAGGCTCGTTGAGGACCCCGTCGGCCCCCGCGGCTGCGTCGGCTCCTGCGGTTGCGGTTCCTGGCGCTGCGGCGGCGGTTTCTGCGGCATCTGATCCCCTGCGTCCGTTAGCTTGAAGGCGCGGATCGTGCGGTCGCCTGTGTCTTGGTCGATGCGGCGGGGAGTCTCTGCAAATATTAATACTCAGCGTGCTGGCAGGCTGGCCCACTAGTCCTGCGCGCCCCGATGCCGGTGCTGGCGCTGTCGCCTCTGACGGCGCTGCCGCTGGGGCGCCAGCCGCCGACGGCCGACGCCGCCGACCCGAAATCCGCGCCGCCCGCGGTGTCAGTCGGCCAGCGCGGGCCCACAGTGCGCGGCCAAACGGAGCCTATGTTGGTCGCTCCTGCTTGCAGGCAGGCGCCCTGACACGCGTGCTCCGCCGATTCCTGAGTGCCACCCGCGATCACGATCTCCTGCGTTCCCGCGGGCCCCACCAGAAGCTCGACGCGCTGAGCAACAGATCACGCGGCACTTCGCGCGACGCTACGGTCGGGGGAGGCCCGGCGGGTCGCGGGGCCCCCGCCTCTGGCGACGAAAACGAGATCTCGTCTTGGTCTGGCATCCGCTTGAGCAGGCCCCTCTCCTCACCCAAACTCACAAGTCTCGCCTTGCCCCCCGGCTGAACGAAGATGTCGCACGGGACCTCTGCCGCATTCGCATCGCCGCCAGGGCCGCGGATTTGGCGTGCGATCTGCATGCCAAAGATAGCGTCGCGCTTGAGACGAAACGGCAGGTCCTTCAGGTCGCAGCGCCAAACAGGCATATTCTTCTCACGCTGAGACCGCAATCGGGACATCGTGAACGCGGCCCTGCATCATCGCATAATGTAAATTTGATATGGAAATACGGCGAGCCGCTTGGAAAGAAACGGCCCACGACGACGCCGTCGACGGCGGCGACGACCGCGACGACCGCGCGCTTTCCGAATCCGAAAGACCAAAGGTTTTTCAACATGTCTGTAACGCGAGCAACTTATGCGCGCGCGTCGAACGCCTTCAACATCGGTCGTGCGCCCGCCAGGGCCACAACCCTTTTGTAAACATATATCATGCGGGGCACATGCGCGCGGCTGCAGAGATGCACCAGCCAACGCCAAGCACTCATGGCAATCGCCGTCGCTCGTGTTCTGTTAGGCAAGTTGCGGGTGGGTGGGTGGGATGGTTGCGCGAGCAGTGGAATTGACAACTGCGAGTGCCACAAGTGAATTGCACCGCGTAGATCGCACCACAAATATATCGCACGACACGGATTGCACAATGCAGCTCGCACCTCCACACGCCACATAGCTTACAACGCAAAGCGTACACCACGTAGATTGCACCACATGCGTAGCTTCGCATCGATTGCACCACATAGCGGGTACCACTCAAATTGCACCGCATATTTTGCACCACGTAGTATGCTGACTGACATACATATGTACATAGGTAGATGTGAAAGGATAAGAACGAGAGGTCGGGAGAGAGAGAAAGAGAGAGAGAGAGAGAGAAAGAGAAAGAGAGAGAGAGAGAGACGGAGAGACAAAGAGAGAGCGACAAACAAACAGAGAGCGATTGAGGCCTCTCGATCGTCTCCTCTGCGTCACGCGCTTGGTGCCAAACGCGCGAGCGGCCGCCGCAGCTGCCGCGGGCGCTGGCGCCGTGGGCGCGCGGCCAGAAGCCCTGCACGCCGACGGGAGAGGCGCAAACTGGGAGGGGTGACATTCAGGCGCGCAAGAAGAGCGCCGCTAGATTAGAAGAAGGTCTCGGCCGGTGCCAAGGATATGCACCACCACCACCTTCATCCCCCCTGCCCTCCTCCAACCTCTTGTGCTCCTCTTCTCTTCTGGGAGGGGGAGGGGGTGAGGGATGCGGCGGTGGTGGATAGTTTCGGCCCCCGGAGCTACCAAGTGACGGCTGCCTGAAGAGAACACGGAAAGCGCGACTGGATAACAGGACTGCTGCTGGGACTAACGCTACCAGGAAGAGCAGCACACGACACACGTAAGCACAGATCAGGCAAGGCCCTGCGGTCGGGCCCTGTTGCTCAGCGTGGCCGCGGCGGCCCCGGCGGCACGCGATGCCCTGCGAGCGGACAGCGTGTCGCTGCGCTCCGCTGGGCGGGAGACTCCTCGAGCCTGAGGACGGAGACCGGAACCGGCGGCGCGACGGGCCATCCAAAAGTTCCCGACCGTAGATGACGTTTGCCTGAAGAGAAGAAGAAGAAAGGGGCCCAGGGCAACGTAAAGAAGTAGACACACATCCCAGGATTCCCCTGGACTTCCTCACATGTCCGGGTTTTCGTCTTCGTCCCCGCTTACGACATTTTCCCATCTTTTCTTGGGGGGCGACGATTCGTTGTGTCTATGTTTTTCCCTCCGGAAAGAAGAGCAGCGCTACTTAACAATATTATTGTTACGGTAGTTTCGCGCGGCGTCGGCGCGCGCCAAGGTTTGTCACCGCATCGATCGTTCAACCTTGAATCGATCGCGGCCACGATCGTTCAAGGTTGCACTCCGCCGGGCCCAGTGACGTCACCGTGTTCTTGGGTGCTTCAGCGTCGCAGTATTCAACCTTGAACGCCTTCGCAGGCGTCGCGGGCGCATCAGCGCCGCATGAACTCACATTACTGGGACGAACGCCTATCGGACGGGGGCGGCGCCGCTGGCGACACCAGTGGCGGCGCCTGAGGAAGGGGAGGGCGCCAAGAGGCCCGAGGGCGTCCCAAACATACCGCCAGGAAGCCGCCGAGAGTCCTCCCAAGAGACCCCAGGAAGCCTCCCAAAAAGCCGTCTTGTCCACGACCCAGTTCGGCCAACGGATGCACCAAAGAGCCATCGAGAGGCTTTATCCTTCATCTCCCCTCTTCTTCTTCCTCCTCCTCACCTCCTTCTCCATTTCGCTCGCCACGAGCACACCAACACATGGGAGCGTGCCGCCGGCGAGGGTCAACACAAATTTGTCTAAACTTGCAAACGCTTCCGCCCCGGCCTGGAAGACCATGCCCCCGCAGCGCTGCCAAGGTATCGTTCCCCAGCAGCCGCGCAACGACTCGGGCCGAGCAAAAGGGGGGATAGCAAGGGGGGGGGGGGAGAATCGGCTCAAGTAGCTGATTTTCCCGGCGCCTCCCGGCGCCAGAGGCGGCCATGTATCGAGGAATGGGCCCCTCGGTGGGGCCGAAACCAGCTGCACGCAGCAGGTTTCGTACCCCCCTTCCCCCTTCCCCCATCCCCCCCTTTCTTTCGGCCCGACGCTGGCACAAGCTCCTCTTCTGATGGGCGCATCTATCCCACATCCCACATCCCCACCTTTCCCTCGGCCCGAGAGACGTGGCCCGCCGGGCGCTGCCGGGGTATACGGAGCACCCCCCCCCCGGGGGGCCGAGCTGCGCGCGGGGGACGGCGCGCCACGTGGGGCACGCCGCCCCCTCAGGCCGGGGCCAGCCGCCTCCGAGCCCCGGGCATGGCGCTGCCCGGGGGGCACGGCCGCTTCCCCCCACCCCGCTTCGGGGCCGTGGGGGCCGCGCCGTGCCCCTGCAAAGCCTGCTGTGGCTGGGCACGGCGCGGTGCCGCGCGCAGTGGGCGCTGCGCGGGGGCACCGCGGGGAGGCTGTCTGGCCCCGCAAGCAGGCGCTGCCGGGGGATCGCCGGGGGGGCGCGCGCCGTGACGCGGCACTCTTGTTGCGTTGCCCGCGGGGGGGAACTCCCTGCTCCACTGGATGCTTTACGCAGGTGGGCCCCGACACGCAACCCTACTGCACCCGTGATGCAGCATATGGGCCAGGGGGATGAGCGAAGCGACTGCGTAAACAAACGCTCTTCGGATGAGGGCGGCGCCACTGGCGACCCCAGTGGCGGCGCGAGCGCGGCAGGGGCGCCGCCCGAGGCGCCGCCAGAAGCCTGACCCAGGAAACTCGCGTGGACCTCCCACCGTCCGTGCTCGACAATTGCTGCTTGTCCTTCGAATCGCGTGGGCGAACCCAAAAGCGTTTTCTCTCTTGGGGCCGCATCCTTTCCTCCCGCCGCCTTCCGCCGAGCGTCTACCGGCTTCCGCCGGCGGAGGCGCCCTCGCCTACTCCCGCCACCCTTCCGCCGAGGAAGAGATGGCAACTCCTTCGATCCTCGAGGGCGAGGGCCCTTTCTGCAACGCCCCACGTGATGTCAAGGGGGTGCCTCGCCAGGGCAGGTGCCGATGCGCGGGAACGCACACAGGAGGTCGACGAAAAAGGGGGCGGGGGCGGGAGCGGCGCGCAGGGGGGGCTGCGATATTGGGGGCACGCCTGCGGGTGGAGAGGACCGGCAGCACCTCGCGCTGAGGTGGAGCTGCAGAAGACGCAGACAAAAAGGCATGGGGCCCTGCGGTAGTGAGCATGCTTGTTTCCGTCGGCGGCGAGGCATAGGCACTCCGCTCCAGCATAAGGCTACGTACTCGGGGCAACCGAGAGGCGAACTGCTCGGCGCGCAAGAGGAAGGAAAGAAGACGAGGGCGGCCGCGCGAGGGGGAGGGGGGGAGTGGCCGTCCCGAACAGAAAAGAAAGGACATGGAAGCATGGGGATCCCCAGCATGGGGCCCTCCCGGACAAAGGCGTGGAAATAGGCATGGCGTCGTGTGGTATTCCTTGGACGGCTGCGGGGCCCCTCCTCCTCCTCCTCCTCCTCCTCCTCCTCCTCCTCCTCCTCCTCCACCTCCTCCTCCCCCTCCCCCTCCTCCTCCTCCTCCCGCTCCTCCTCCTCCCTCCTCCTCCTCCTCTCCTCCTCTCTCCTCCTCCCTCCTCCTCCTCCGCCTCCTCCTCCTCCTCCTCCTCCTCCTCCTCCTCCTCCTCCTCCTCGCCTTCAGGCCAGGGGGCCCGTGCTCCCCCCCCCCGCCCCCGCCCCCCCCCCCCCCCCTCCAGCGTTGGCGGGGGGCGACCGTCGAGCGTACTTCCTCGGGCCAGCTTCGGGTTGGGGGCCCGGGTGGGGTGGACAGACTGCCTACTAGACCGCGGCGGGGGGTCCCTCCTCCGCTTCCTGCTCCCCCTCCTCCTCCTCCTCCTCCTCCTCCTCCTCCTCCTCCTCCTCCTCCTCCTCCTCCTCCCTCGCTCTCCTCGCTCTCTCCCCCTCCTCCTCCTCTCCTCGCTCTCCTCCTCCTCCTCCTCCTCCTCCTCCTCCTCCTCCTCCTCCTCCTCCTCCTCCTCCTCCTCCTCCTCCTCCTCCTCCTCCTCCCCCTCTTCGCCCGAAGACCCAGATTCCAGGTTGAAGGAGGGGGGGTGGGTTCCACACGCGTGTTTCGATGGTCCCCGACCGCCGACCGCACTGCCTAGGGCCAACTTCGGTTTGGGGCCCGGGTGGGGTGGACAGACTTGTGGCTGTTTTCTTGTTCGGCGTTTTGACATTGGGCGGAAGGGGGGGAGGGGGGGGCTCTGGCTCCAGACCTCTGCTCAGTGCGACTGCTTGCAACAGTGTGCGTCCTGGGGGTGACTCCACCTGCTCGAAACAGGCGCCAAGATCTTCCCCATACGGGGGGATGAGGGGAGGTGTGAGGGCACGCGCCGATCTGAAAAAAGTGACTAAGAAATTGATCACCTACCTACCAGACCACCTAAACCGAAGACCCAGATTCCAGGTTGGGGGTGGTGCGGGTTCCACACGCGTGCTTTCGATGTTCCCCGACCCCCCCCCACTGGGAGTGAAGGGGGCTTTCGGGTTGGGTTGGGGTGACCTGGTGGGTGGAGACTGATCCGCCACTGTGCCTCTGGCGCAAAGTGGAATGCCCCAAGGCTCATGCAGCACTGAGAGGTAGACGCTCTGCTGCTGCTGCTGCTGCAGCGAGAACTGTGAGTC